GGCAGGAGCCAGAACCACTGATCTAAATCCCCGGCCCCTTGGGTGACTTTTTGAAATAAAAATATGTTCCAAAGATACTTTATTTCACTGCCTGCTCGAAAACTTTAGAATTTTTAACTTCTCTTTGAAGGAGACAGGTTTGTTTGGGGGATGCTTTCATGGATCAATGAAATTATATATCATTTATATATATGAGACTAAAAACTAAACTAAATGTCCATGTTCAGTATGAAAGGAGAATTTCAGGGTCTGGAAATCCAGTGTTTCCTTACTGGGGAAATGTCAGGACCACAAGTTGTAGGTGAGCCCTTCACCTTGGGTTATCAGAGATGCCTGCAAAGAGACGAATACCCTTCATCAGCTCAGCCAGTCTATTTTGGGCTGAAACAGTTGGAATGGGGACAAAATCTGCAGATTAACTGCATTTAAAACTTACACCACACACTGGGCTTCAGAAAGTCATATCGCTCCATTTGAGGCAAAACAACGCTACGCAGTAAGCAATGAAGCCTGTATGAAGAGGACGTTCTGAATTAATGTGTCATGGAGCCACCATCGAGTTGTCCTTTTCCCCTCTTTCAGCCCAGAGTGTCCCAGCGTCTTCCTGTCTAAATGCTTCCATAACTGTGAGGCCCTGGAATGAGCCTCTTTGTTTTTCAAGGCAAATATTGGTGTTTAGCAGGCTGTTCTTCATGCTGTAGATACAAGGATCTGCCTGGCTCTTAGTTCCTCAGAACATCTCTGCCCACATGGAGATCACGTGAGTGCCCACGAGTTCAGCATCCTGTGCTACCCTCCTTTGGGCTGGTGATAGGAATTCTGCCCCTCTTCTCCTTCCTCTACCACCAAGCATGACAAGGTTGCAGTGAGCCCTCACTGTCTGCGGTTCTCAAGACCCATGCTTCCTCCACCAGCTGTAATGAGGCTGCTAGTCCCCTCCACTGCATGGTTATGCTTCTCGAAATATGTCTCTGGGCCTCTTCATCAGCATCACCTGGAATTTTAGAATCTCAGTCCAAATGCAACTGGTCAACTACACTTAAGACCTACTGAGTAAAAAACATCCTAAAAATGGGCTCTGTGAGCTGCACATCAAAAATTTCTCCGGGGCTGGGATGTAGCTCAGTGGTAGAGTGTTTGGTGTGTGAGCCACTAGGTTGGATCCCCAGCACCACTAAATACATAAATGAATGAATAAATAATTCCTCCACACAATCGTGATGCACATCTGAGAACCACTACTCCATGGAGACTGCTGTCATGAGGTTATGGGTGACTTCTAAATATCTCAAATAGATTCTTGGCTTCCACTGTTTACCAAAAGCTGAAGAACAACCCTCCTCACAGAAACTCATTCCTGGTGCCTTTTTGACACTGCCCTCTTTTCATTCTTCTGGTTTCCAGTTGATCCTTTTTGTCTTTCTCCTGTCTCCTCTGTTCGCCTTACTGGAAATTTTCCAAGGAATTGCCAGTGGCCCTCTTCACTAATTACACCCTTTTCTGGGAAATTCCATGCTCAACCTTGGCTAAAGTCCTGACTTGTCTGCCTCTGACTTTCAAATTGGATTCCCTAGCTTTACTTCTCACTTCGATTGCTGTGCCATCAATTCTAAAGGCCTCCAGAACACCAGCTCCCTCAAACCCACCGTGAGTTATAATGCAGAATTATTAAAAGAAATATCACCATCTTCCTCACCACACCTGTATCTCTGCTAGATTTCTACTCTTTGTTTTCCTTCAACAATATTTTCCTAATCCCATGGATGTGAAAACTTTTCTTCCCCACAATGAAATTTCCAAATTCTTGCTAAGTGCTGTGCACTTTTCCTGTAACAGCTCAATCTCTGCCACACGCTTTGATTTTTTTGCTCTGCTGATTGTTTTTGTCTATCTAGGAAGCAGAACTACAATCAAAGAGTAGAAATGGGAAGAAGAGCATTCCAACCATCAGAAGTGCCCTCAGATGGGCTGTGGCAGTCTGTGTCTCCAGAGGTATCTAAGCTGGCCGTAAAACAGAGACCAAAGCCTTTAATGAGTTAGTTGGCTTTATGTATTGATTCCCATCCGACCTTGAGATTCTATGTTTCCTTTTATCACGCTGTTTTCTTTCAAGCCCTCACTATCCATTCATCCTTCATTGTTTAAGTTAATGTTTCTGCTCCAAGTCTGTGTCTGACACTTTGGGCAGACATGGCTTTTCCATGTTTCTTTTCTCTGTGACTCCTTGCTCCCAGTCCACTCCCCAGGCATATGTTTGGATATTCTTTAGTTCATTCACACCACCTACCATTGGCTAGGTGCTGAAAATAAAAGAAATGAACGTGTCATCCTTAACTTCAAATGTCATCCAGGTAGGACAGGGGACAGCCACATCAGAGATGACATAGATCACTTCAATGTCATACGTAACCGCACTGGGTAGTGGGGCCACTGGGAGCCACTGGGAGAGGAGAAAAGAGACGTCACCTTCCCTGGTCACAAGGCCCAACCCTGTGGGCTGGGTTTTAAGGACTTGGTGGACATCAGCTTCAGAAGCCAGGAAAGCACTATCTGGAAACACCACGTGTACAGAGAGAGACATGGGAAGCTACCTGAGCATACTGTCTGGCAGCCATGAACTGCTCAGCACAGAGGAGCAAGCAGTGGCTGGGAGAGATGGGTGAAGTGAGTTTAGGGAGCGGTATGTTTATTCTGAGGCGCTAGCTTTATTCTGATCACTGTGCGGTGACTTGACCCCCTTTGCCCCTTGGGAAGATGAGGAGAAGAGCGTTCGGAGGGTAAACTGAGACAAAGCAGGCTAAGGTGATGAGAGCTCAGCAAAGGCAATGGTGGTGGGACAGAGGACTGAGCGGTCTGGAAGTTCTCAGGGGACAGCGCCTACGAGCTCAGGAGGCTGATTAGAGTGGGGGTTTCAATTACATGACTGTGCAGAGAGGGTGCCTGCAGTGGGGATATAAATGGAGGCTGTTGGAATTTAAGGGAATCGAAATGACTATTCGGTAAGGAAAATTGGAACTTGCCAAAGACTTGGCAGGCCCGTCACTAGAGGAGAGAGGGAAGGAGAGACAGAGGAGATGGATGAGAGCAGCTGGAAACAGGCAGCAGGCCCGAGACACAATGCTCTTAGGGCTGCTCCATATGCTAATCACCAAGATACCGAGCATGGACATCTACTCCCTGCTAGGCACTGAACCTCACACCGATCTCACAGTGCAGAAATTACTGCCTTCATCTTATAAACATGGAAACTGAGACTCAGAGATGTGAGGTATCTTGCCCAAAGCCATCTAGTACCAAATAGTCTCACGATCCCAAAGGATGAGGAGATTTGTTCCACACATGAGAGCCGTACAGAAATAACAGCCGCTTGCTAACGTGGACAAGGGTGAGACCCACACTCCCATCCTTTTAGAATCCGGAACACATTTCATCCAAGAGACTGAAATAGTACCATGTACAGACTCAGCACTTCCACGGTGCCACCAGGGCTGGAAGGAACTTCACCTTGTGTTTCCTTCTGGTTTCATTTGACTTCAGTTTCCACTTTCTCTATCTACACTCAGCCAAATCCTTAATTTAATGGGAAGGTAGAGGTTGGCCTCCAAGTCTGGTCCCAGGATGAGAGGCCTCAGCCTTAGGCTGGAACCTGTTAGAAATGAGGATTTTCCTACCCTGCTGCAGTTTCTGACTCAGGAACTCGGGGTCCCTCCTCCATGTGACGCTGATGCTGGCTGATGTTGGAGAACTGACAGGGCTAATGTGTTTCAGCTTCCCCAGAAGTCTGCAGTGGACACAGGACTGACCTGCATCGTGAATACTGGTCACGTCTATCACCGAAGGAAATGCCAATCGGACCGCTGCCCAGGTAAGTGTTGAGACATCCCAGCACCTTACTTTTTCTGGATGTCTATTCTGTCATGTACTCTTTGTTTTTACCATTCTCTTACCATGCACCCTTAGGAAATTTACCGAAATCTATCAATTACTCTCTTACCTACAACTCTGCACAGTAGAGAAACTGAACCTGAATCATAAACCTCACAGAGCTGAACTACTTGTAGGATTTTCAGAGCAACTCTGTGGATTCCGAAATTAACCATCAACTCAGCTCAAGATGAATGGACTCTAAGACCCATTAAGATTTTGAAATTAGATTCACCAGTGATCACAACAGAATCTAATTAGAGGGCATCATCAATGCGTTCCCTTGCTCTTTGCTCCTTGCCATCTCATAAAACAAGGAAAGACAAGCTTCGGAAAGACATAAGGTACAGTAAATACAATCTTCATCAAGTGAGGCTTTTTATTGTTTTTAAATAAAGAGAACTGGGAGAACTCTTTAATAAGGACATATATCTACATATTTTGTTTATTTAAATTTTTTTTTTTTTTTTGTGGTACTGGGGATTGAACTCAGGCTTTTGCACTGAGCTACATGCCCAGCACCTTTAAAATTTTTTTAAAATTTTGAGATGGGGTCTCTCTAAGTTGCTCAATTGCCAGGCTGGGTTCCAACTTGTAATCCTCCTGCCTCAGCCTCCCAGAGCGCTGAGATTACAGGAGTGCAGTATCATGCCTGGTTTATCTGTATAGTTTATGAAAAACACATTACTGATCCAGGAGGGGGCAAATGTCAGCTCTGCACTTTGAGCTTTCAAATTACGCATAGTGGAAGGAATCTGTGTGGAAAACAATCATTTCCAGGCCACAGACATTCTGAACAGCCAGGATTTGGGGAATTTATCCAGTAGAATGGGCTGAAAACAACAACCTCAAATACACCTGCAGATGAACTATGTCCTCCCAAGTTTGGAGGAGCCACAGGCAAGACGGGAACGATTTCATCTTTGCCTATTTCCTCCCAGGCTAACCCAAAGCAGCTACTTTGGGGATGGCAGAGGTTTTCCTCTGTGACATCTTCCTGGCCTTGTGGCTCTTGCCATCATTGGGGTACACAGACAGCAGACAAACACACCGCCGTGCCAGAGCATGCTACTGACCTGCTCATGAACTTGTACCGGCGGGGCAGGTAATAGATTTTTCTCCTGGAAGAACAGCAAAAATGAAGCCAGTCGAGAAGAAAACCCATCGTCAGTTACAGTTTGAACTAGCAAGGAAGGAAAGGAGATTGAAGACAGAAGCCTGTAAGAGGTGAAGAAGGAAAAACTAAAAAGAGATTAACAGTGAGAAATGTAGTAGGAAGACAGGGCATGCATTTCGAGTCCCGAAATCTTAGGAGACAGTTTCCTCTGCCCTGCCTTCTCCCACCGCTGTTATTTTTTTATGGCTGCTCCCTGCCTATCAGGTGTGTGTGGAACAATGATTGGAGCAACTGGTATTTGCCTGGATTCAGCTGAGGTCGGCTTTTCTCCAGGAAAATGCAGAGATGGATGAGGGGCAACATATATAATTTAACAGGTGCGCTATTATATTAAAGTAGTATTTATATAGCAATTTAAGTTTTCAGAACATTTTGCTCATGATTTAGACAGGAGTAATACAAAAATATATATTTTTGCAACCTGCCTCGGAAGGCTAACATATTAATGGACAGCTATAAATTAACCACAACAGGACATACATGGCCCAAACACTGGCTCCAGACAAAGGTGAATTAAACAGGTAAAACCAAGGGATCCTAAACCAGTTTTTTTAAAATTGGAGATGCTAAGTGTATATTATATGACTACATATTTACACTTTCAAAAATATTAAACATGGAAGTTCTGGGTGCTGAGTGAAGAGTAGGTGGGTTAGGTGCTTTATTAAAATGCAATCTTATTTCCATATTTTAGGCTTCAATCAATGCCATGGTAAGGAAACAGACGCAGTTTATATGTGTTCTAAGCTGCTGCTGAGCCATCTCGCTTTTGGGAAACGGGAGATTTATGTCACAAAGTAGCTGGCAGATGTGTGACAACAAATGTGATAAACAGGTCAGCGGTGCCAGGTGTCTGGGCTGGCAGACAGGGGGTGACCAGGGGAAGCTCGGGGGATTTTTAGGGCCTCGGATTGTGTATCATGCTAAAATGGGAGATAAGTGGTGATATGCATCTGTCAAATTGCACAGGTCTGCTCAACATCAGTGAGCCTTCAACTGCAGGTTTTGGTTAACAATGATGCCGTCATATTGGCCATTCATGGCAACAAATGCATCACTAATGCGAGGTGTTAATAAGGAAAGTGGCTGTATGGGAACTCTGTGCTGCTGCTTAATTTTCTGTAAACCTAAAAATGCTTTAAAATAAAGTCTATTCATTTTGTAATATATATATATACACACACACACATAGGTATTTAAGAAGTAGGTTTTATTGGCAAATTCCTGTAAGAAATCTATTCTTCAATTTCCTTTTACACCTTGTAGGGTTAAATAGTGAAGGAAATGAAAGCTACAATTTAAAAAGCACAGTTCACAGAAAATAAAAACACTAATAAGATTCTTTGGGACATTTAAATTCGGCCAAGTTGATGTTTGTACATTTTGTGGAAAAGGTATGGTGGGAGAATTCCTCCTTCGGAGATGCGTGCACTTCCTTAGGCTGGAAACTGCGGACAGGATAACAGTGCACACCCTAGAGGCACCAGGTTGCATCCAGGGAAGCTCTGCTTAGGTAAAGGCCACACGGACATGCACGAGGACATTTAGTGCCACACATTCACAGTATTCTCTCATAAGACTGTTGTCCTGCAGGAATTCCTACATCTAAGAGAAAATTACTATTCACATTCATTTTAATTTTATAGCTTACTTGGAGTCTCTTAATACTGCATAAGAAACATGCTCGAAGGAAGGGAGGAGCACTTTTCTGCTAGGCAGTGGGCATGGAGACATGCGGCCACGGTGCAGCCCGGCTTTCCGGACCAGAAATCTTTGCAGGTATCAAGGAAGCTGGGCCTGCAGCAGCATCCTCAACTTTTCCATCTCCTCGGTCTCCTTGGGTCTCTGTCATGGGTGAGTGTTCTGGAGGAGGCTTTGTGATGTTTCCTCTGGGGAAGGGGCATCAGTTTCTACCTAAGCATATTTTGTACCGGTTTCTTTCACTGTTCGCTCTGAGGTATGATACGGCATTGATCCATTTTAGATAATTACTCTATCATAGATAAATAACTGGAATTTCGTTATTACAGCATAGCAGTTTTCAATGGAAACTAAATTTATTTTCTTTCTCTCTTGGTGGATATATGATTTTTTTGGAAACTCTTGAGTTCTCAGATTTCTTTAACATTTTTAACTATAAAAAACAATTATAAGGTAAAAACTATTTTCATCTATTTTGAGAATTTTGCCTCCAGGAAAACAGATGATACAAATTCCAGCCTCTATTCTGAATTGGTATTGGGACATAAAGATCAATTAAATAGGGAAAAGCAAGATGTACCGGGGGATATAGTACAAGCTTGCGACTGTAAATTGCCTTTCTCTAAATGTGTCTCTCGTCTCTCGGTCTCGGAATGTAGTTGATTCTTTGTCTCCACATGCAGCCCATTGAGAGGTATTTTTAAAACTGGTACCAGTTTGGCTCGTCCCTGACATTTGACTGTTTTCCTGGCTGTTGTGAGCTCAAAGCAGGCAACTCAAGGCCCTGTAGTGCTGAATTCCTCTCCTTCCTTAGGGAGATTCTATTATAAGCCCCCCAACATATCCTGGCATTTATAAGGTTGGGTTTAATACTTTATTTCTATCTAGCAAATGAAGGTCACCTTTCCTTAACCCATAAGGAAAGCAGGAATAGTCACTGTGAGATGAACGTACATTAATCCTCTTAAATAATGCCACAATCAACACAAAGTATTTTCTATACCCTTTCAAGCAGATATCAATGTTTGTGTTTATGAAGTGTTTATGACTTTTCAGATTTAAAAAGAGCATATTTTCATGAAACTTCTAGAATTTCTTTCTTTGGAAGCAGATTTAAATTTTCTTTTTTCCACAAGGGATTGGTCAGTAAGGAACATGATGCTGAGGGCCTCTGGAAGTGTTACTTTCAAAATGAAAATGCCATTTGCAAAATGCTTCTTTATCACAGGCATTTGAAATATCTGCCTGATAAGGCCTGACTTGGCAAGAAACTGTCACAGAAAGCTATGAAATCATTATTGGTATGGCGATGATGACTTATTTGCATTTCCTAAATGTTTGAAAGATTTTCCCCTCCAATAGCTTTCGGGTCTGCACTTCAGTATTGTCAGGCCTGAGAAAGAACTTCAAGTCTACAGTGATGCAGCGGAGGAGAGGAATACACGGACACCTACCTGAAAGGCATCCTTACATTCATTTGTTCTGCGTATCTTCCGAGGACTTCCCATGGGGCATGCAGCTTCACAAAGATAATGTCACTATTTATTAGAGAGGACTGAAACAGAAAAAAAGAAGCTAAATTGAAAAGTATGTCCAAACATCCCACAGTTTCAACTGAGTCGGAATTTAGAACAGAGAACTTGAATAAATTTTATGATTTGGGGCATTCTTCAGATATGAACCAGGCTCTTATTCATTCAACAAACATCCCACGGTGTCAGCAGACAGCAGGGCTCTGGACTTCATCCTCCTAACACAAGGAAGCCAGCTTGACTTACTAGGTGGGCAACGCTGTGGCTTCTTTGTGGAGAATAAATTATAAGAGAGGCTTGTGCTGAAGGCAGAGAGAAGGAGAAATGCTCTGAACCATCAAAGCAAAACCAAAAGTTGGCAGGGCTGGAGGCGGAGGCACCAAGGAGACTCGAGATTTTAATCTCTGCTGGTGTCCAGCGAAGTGTGCACGGAGCAATGTTCGTTGGCCCAAAGCCTTTGCCTGCACTGAGGATTTCTGTCCACACAGAACTTGGACAGGGAAGAAAACGAGGACTTCGTCCTGATAACACCTAACAGGTTTTGGTTTCTTTCTGGTGGGCGGGGGACGGAGAGCCAGTCAGGAAATTCCCCTTTGCACTCTGCCTGCCAGGGGCACATGGTTATGGAAGGAGGTGGAGACAGTGGCGCGCCCACCCAGATCACAGGAGGAAAGCGGCCGCTTATTTGCTGACCCCTTCCCTCACACGGACTGCGAGCCATCCACATCGTTGTAATTCAAGATCGTTGGCTTTATTTTTAACAGTTAACTAGAAGTTCAACTTTATATTCTCACCGGGGTGAATCAGCCCTCCAGGGAATATTTTAATAAATTATACATGATATACAACTGTAATTCATATCTCCTACTTCAATCCACGGACTTCTGGTAGGGTTTATAAATATTGTATTTAGATTTATACGAGCTCATCAAAATATTACAAAAGTCAAACTGGTGTCAACTACAGCATTCTCGGGGACTCGGGTAGGAGGATCTGTGTGTATCTCCACAAGAGAGCCGGTGCTCTCTGATCTTCTGAAAAAACTCAAAATTCCTAGCAATTCAGGCTGAAATGAAGCTACAATTTCTAGCTTGGGAAAGCAGTGTGCTGAGTCCAGTCCCGAGGACAAGGACTCCCTCATTCTACACCCGGCACACTGTGATCCATGACTATGGAGAGATTCAAGCGGTTACCCCGGCCCAGGACAGCAACGGGGATTGGACAGCAGCGGTGCCCATCAATGGAGTCACGGAGGGAGCCAGCCGCGCAGGTCACCATGAATGGGCAGCTCCCTGGATGATGAACAGCCAGCGCCAACGCAAGACCAGGGCTGTCTCTTTTAAAATGTTTTTAATGGGCCGGGGATTTAGCTCACTGGTTCTGTCGCCTGTCTCGCAAGCACAAGGTGCCGAGTTTGATCCCTGGTGCCAAAAAAACCCAAAAACCAAAAAACTGTGAAAAATGCTTTTAAAAATTAATTCCATCAGTACATTTTAGATATACGTAATGATCACATTCATCCTAGGGAATCTGTACCTGTACACAATATATCGTAATTCTTCTTTTTCCCATTCCCCTCCCCTCCCTTCAACCCCTCTTCCTCTCCTTGTTTATAAAAGCTTTGTTTCCATTTTCCCCTTCTATTCTCTTTTTTTCCTTTTCCCTTCCTTCCTCCCTCCATAGTCCTCCTTCCCATTTAAAAATTTTCTTCCTGTTTCACAATATCTATTATACATTTTGGACCTTATTTACCCTTTTGGCATCTCACACCAGAGAAACAGTGTGGTATTTAAACATGTGTATCCAATTTAGAATGAATAAAGAAGATTTGTTTTTTTATACAATGGAGTACTACTCTGCCATAAAGAAGGATAAACCTGAGACATTTCTAGACTTTTTTTAAAACTCAGGAATTTCTTACATTTAATTCTCCTGGCACAGGTGCTTCAAGCTAAGTGGTCAGGGAGGCCTGAGTGAGCTCATAGACTGCAGTGTCTCTCTGGAACCTACGGACACACACACACACACACACACACACACACACCAGTCCACAGTTGCAGTCTGTAGTTGCGCCCTGGTGATCTGAGATGGTCCCACAGTTTATCAGAAGCATTTGGGGGCCCGGGCCCAAAATCGCTTTCGGAAGAGATTGCCACTGGCTCGTCAGTGGCTTGTACAGTTTTCAAAGCTATAAAGCAAAAGGAAGATGATATTTCCTAAAAGTTGTCCTTTCTTTGTTCCTCTTAGAGATACGCTTCGGAGTGTAGGCATGTTTAGGGACTGTCTCATCGAGGAATTTCAACTGAAATCATGGAATTCTTGAAGTTCACTGACCTGACCCGCTGAACTTTGTCCCTCAGAGCCCCGCTGTGGAAGGCTTGCAGCAGCCTCTTGGACCATCTGGAGACACTGAGACTCGCAGGAGGCGGAGCTTAGTGGAAGGAACTCGGGTCACTGAGACTGTGGCCTTGGCAGGGACCATGGGGCCCCAGCCTTCCTTTCTGTTTGCTTCGCTGCCATCAGAAATGGCCCAGTTTGCTCTGCCACGCGTCCCCACCACGTCTGCTGCCTGTATCAGGCCCCGCCTTACCATGGACTGAAGTTCCTGAAACCATGAGCCAAAACAGACCTTTCGTCCTTTGTAAATCACTACCTCAGGTATTCGGTCACGGCAGCATAAGACTAACATACTATGCTTCCTGTAAGGTTCTTTTTCTATCTTCCTATGAAATAGTGAAACCGAGTGACACCAGAAGATGACACACGGGAACGTGACTGATTTGCAGACTTTGACGGATTCACAAAATCACACAGGGCCTGACTTAGGAGAAGCTACTGTTTAGAGTATGCTTTTCTATGGATTTACCATGACTGCCAGTTTTATGGAAAATAAATATTCTAGTAGAAAAATAATCATTCTGGAAATTCTCCATAAATGTTGAAAACATTAAAAAGAATGTATTAAAATATTACACTTAGGGCACATTTTTAAATGCCACACTTCTGTGGGTGGAAAGGCCAAGTTTATTACCTGAACACATACTCTGGCAACTAAAATTCCAATGTAGGAGCTCTACCATTTTCTCCATAAAAGCATAGCTTATTTTTATTTCTTCAGCCTAATGAGAAGAACTTCATTTTCCTTATTATTTAAATAATAGCAATACTAATGTCATCATTTTATTTATCTGTAGTGTCTCGAAGCACTTCCACTCATTATTATTCGCATAGAAGGCTATCACAGAGGCTTGCTTTGACATCTCAGAGGCGGAGGGATGGGACAATGACTCGGTCATGGCTACACTGAATGTTTGTTCCAGGCACAGCAGATCTCATACCCACAGCTCTGGATTCCTGTGTGAATATTATCTAATAACTTCTGAGGTCTAAGTCCCTGGCCTGCTATCCATGTAAAATGCCAGTTCTCTAAGCTCTTTCTCAGTTAGTATAAATTACTCTTAAAAGAATTTCCATTTCAGATAGCAAAGCAATGAAAACAGAGACACTCTTACAGTGCAAAGAAAACTGAAGCTACTAACGAACTGAGACTGGACCGGAGGCTAATACATTTATTTTAATTATCTTGAGAAAAATGTTAACTGAATTCCCATGAATGATGATGCATGTTTATTTATGGCTCGTGTGTGTGTGTGTGTGTGTGTGTGTGTGTATCCATGCACGTAACCCTTTTACAAGCTTAATGGAAAATTTAGTGTATGGGTCCTATTATCTATATTCAAAGAGGAAGTGAGAAGTCATAGCCTATTCTTATTATGGAACACCTCCTGAACTTCAGTTCTGAAAAATAAATGGGAAACAGATGATTACTAATTATATGGCTCATACATTACTCTTTCCTGCTGAATGATTATGCTGCTGTTTCTAAACAGGTCTTTCTTTGTTGTTAAGTATTCCTGTCTACATAACTCCAAGTGTGTAAGTGCCAAAGTGAAGAGAAATAGAAATTATTTTTATGAAACACAAAGTTGTTTTGTTAATATATTCCAGTGAAATTCTCTTAGATTAGACATTTGGAGAAAAGAAGAACAATAATTTAGTGCAGTTTGGAAAAATATGCTTGGATGGATGACTGAAGAAAATAAAAAATAGCATGTAGAAATAGATAAAATGCATAGGAAACATTTCTTCTTACTTTAATTCAACAAGAATATATTGAAGACCTTCTATGTACTCATGTTTGGAATGTGATGATACATAAATCATAGTACTAGCCTTGGTATGCAACAATTCCATAAGGGAAAATTGGATCAGGAAGGGGAAAGAGCAGTGGGGAGGGACTGAGAGAGGGAGGGAGAGAGAGGAGAGAGAGAGAGAGAGAGGAGAGAGAGAGAGAGAGGAGAGAGAGAGAGAGGGAGGGAGAGAGGGAGAGAGAGAGGAGAGAGAGAGAGAGAGGAGAGAGAGAGAGAGAGAGGGAGAGAGAGAGAGAGGGAGAGAGAGAGAGAGGGAGAGAGAGGGAGAAAGAGAGAGAGGGAGAGAGGGAGAGAGAGAGGAGAGAGAGAGGAAATGGCTGCCATAAGGAAATCCAAGCAAACACTCCATCTCTCAAAGAAATGTAACTTCATATTTGAAGCATAACTCCTAATTCCATAGCTTCCGAAACTATTTACTGAGAAGAGGAAGTTGAGAAGACTGGGTTTGGGAATGGAGCTCCACAGGCATATCACAAACTCAGATTTGGGGATGTGATGTTCTAGGTGTGATGGGAAGATATCTGTGGATAGCTAGGTGAATGAGTCTAGAGCTCACTGGAGAGGTCGGGGCCAGAGACTTCTAGGTGCAATGCAAGTATGGCTGGGACATAGGTGACACTTAAAGAATTAGTGGAGGCCGCTGAGGAGGAGAGTGTAGACACCGAGCCAGTGGGCAGCTGTACTGCAGAAGGCGGGAATGAGAATCTGAGACTGGGCATCAGAACATACGGACATGTTCATGTTTGTATCCATGTTTACCGCTTACCAGCTCTATGATCTTCATGAAGTATTTGATCTCTGTGTGCCTTGGT